GTAGTGATGATACTACAGTACAATGTACAGTAGTAAGGTAACAGTATACTGTACACTGTACTGTAGAGCGACACGAGCGGGAGACGACAGTTTTTTTGCACACATTCACCTGCACTGCTACGGTAGGAACCTCTACTAGCTAATAACAAAGGAAAAGGACAAGTACTATGCAAAAAGTCGTGAGCAAAATAATTGTCACTAACTCACTGAAAAGCGCAATGCAGTAGATGAAAATCAATTCATCAACAAGATTCAAGATGAGAAAGATTTACAGTAGACGCGTTTGTATGGCATTATTACTCGTTGTCCTACAGGACTTGCATCAAGACTTGATTATTTCAAGCAATACAGTACAGTAGATTTGAATGATTTCCATCAGCTTCAGTTAACTGTGCTCTACCGTGTACCAGTGTGTCCTTCAAAGATCAACCTGAAACCCGACTTGAACCTAACTGGAGCTCGGAGAAATCCAGGTTAAGTAATTGTGGTTGTGATGCAGTGTTTGTATAGCGATTGCAGTCATTTCGGGTTGGAAAATCAACCATTTGATCGGGTTTTATCGCGTTTTGACTCCATTGAAGGACTCTATGCTGTACATGCTGTACTTTACTATGCAGTTCATGGCTCTACACTAGTGTATTGTAACCCCACTATTTAGGGTGTATAGTACGCACCGGTACAGGGATTTCGGGTGGACCAGAAGGCTCAGACGGTGACGGTAAAAATAGCCCGTACGAAGGCAACAGTGACATCAAAACTGCATAGGAAAACATGCAGAATGATGATGACGGTAAAAATAGCCCGTACGAAGGCAACAGTGACATCAAAACTGCATAGGAAAACATGCAGAATGATGATGACGGTAAAAATAGCCCGTACGAAGGCAACAGTGACATCAAAACTGCATAGGAAAACAGGCAGAATGATGATGACGGTAAAAATAGCCCGTACGAAGGCAACAGTGACATCAAAACTGCATTGGAAAACATGCAGAATGATGATGACGGTAAAAATAGCCCGTACGAAGGCAACAGTGACATCAAAACTGCATAGGAAAACATGCAGAATGATGATGACGGTAA